TAAACATGCAATTTCAATCATTTGTAGATTAAGAATTGGACATGCTTGTACACATGCACATCTGGCAAAAATTAGAGTAAGGGATAGCTCATTGTGTGAATGAGGCTTAGATGAAGGTTCCACAAACCATATTTTTTTCAACTGTCCTAAATTAACCTCCTCCCTTTATGATTACCTTTCTCCTTATGTTCCTCGACCTATAGATTTTAATTCTCTTTTAACATATACCAGTACTCCTTTTGTGTATATTTTATGTGATTTTATTAATACTAATAATATGAAACTTTAAATCCTTTTCACTTTTAACTTACGGGTAAGAGTCTAACACCTGTGTTTGTCATATTTGTTCTAGGTAATTCAACAAATAGATTTGTCTAAATTCTCGCAGGAAAACTGAATCCTTGTATTATCACAGACTCTTATTTTAATTAAACTCATAAGCTTTCATTTTCCACTCAATACGTCATTGGCGAATTTTATCAAACCGCCACAAAAGAAAGAAGAAGAATTGTGGATATATAGTTTATAAATAAAGAAAACACTAAAGTACATATTTTGTGTTTTCGGTTTGGTTGTAGTTGGTACTGGGTAGCATAAATGTAGCTCCAGGAAGTACAAAAAGCACAAGAAACATTAAGTGTGGTTTGGTGCCATGAAATAATAAGGTTCTTTACATGCCACAGGAAATGCAGAAATATGGAAAAAGTACTTTTATAATAATTAGTCTAAAATACACAATTTGAGGTAAATTGGAAAAGAAATGCAAAACTTTACAATAGAAAATATAAACAAGTTTGAAAACTACTACACATAAGGCTTCACAAAAGATCACTACACTGAAAATTAATCTTATATGAATAAATAGATATAAATAATTATAAACCAATGTTGTAAATATAAAATGTAGAAAAACTTAAAGTTCATAACAATAATATAAGAAATAAGGTTAAATGCAATTTTTAAACTATTTATATATTAAACCAACCTAAAACAAATGTTAACTGTTGATCTCATAAAACCCAGACAAAATCAGAAAGTTTGGAGTAAGAGATCGCACTCAATCTTTAAGTGTTTTTAGTTTGGAAAAAAAATCTAGCAAAACTTTTAGGTTATGTTATTATCTCCCTGTTCATTGCTCCAATAAAGCAGAAAATGCTTATTGTTGTAATTGCAACAAGAAAACTGTTGAATTGCCAAATGCTATTTTTATACATTATGTTGTTGTATAGTAGATGTCACAGGTAATAGTATCTCAAAAATAAAAGATCTTGTATATAAATGAAGGAAAATATTTACTAAAATCATGAAATACACAGATAAAGTAAGCCCTCTTACAAATGGGAAGAGGGCTATACCCAGGAGTGGGATGTATGTAAGCTATATGTATACAGGGTGATTTTTCAGAGTAGCCAAATTTTAAAATTAAGTTCAAATATGTAAATAATGAAACACCGTCATAGCAGTTGTTGAAAATATGAGTAAATAAGGCTTCTACTTTTACCTGAAATTATCCTAAATTAAATGGGATCTATTGGCAACAACTTTTTTGCCTACCCATCGACCTTTACAAATGGGTGCGTGCACAGTAAAATCAGTTAAAATAATGCATTGTCACATATTTAGAATTTAAAAGATATAACTTAAATTGAAAATTTTAAAAACCCCCTGAAACAAAAAAGCTGATGATCTTCTAACGACTGAACTGATTTTGATAAGACATGTCTAAGAACTAGAGGATACAGAACAGGCCCGTATCTAAGAACTGGGTTTTTCGGTTCCGGGTACATATAGAACCGGGTACCCGGTTCTTTTCGGTTCTTAATAGTAAAAAATTCTTTAGGGCAAAATAAAACTACATTAATTTGGTGCTAATGATGATAGTGATGTGTAATTAATCAAATAAATGTGTTCCAATTCTAATATATGAAACAACAAAAAACCAGCTTGTCTTCTGAGCTTCATACAAATAAAATTTAGAAAAACAGTTCAAAGAATTAACGAATGAAATAAAATCAAACAAACAAAACCAACGAGATTTATTTTCTCACAGTTCTGGAATTCTTAAAAAATCAACACTTTCTGTTTGTCATTCTTATAAAATCAAACAAACAAAAATAATTAGATTTAGTCACAATCAACACTTCCTGTCTTTCTTATTTTCGTAATAAAAGTGTAAAAATGAGAGAATGTTTAAGCTTTTATCGTTTAATGAGGAATCGTCTTTAAATTATCAAAAAATTAAGTGACCTCTTGATCCACCATTTTCAAAAAGAGCCATTTCAAATTTAATGGTAAACTTGAGACTGTCATCTAAAACAGCACTATCACCGTTCACCCCTGTCATCACTTTCTCTAGTTCTCTGTTCCGTTGCTATTCATTGGTCAAATCTTGTATTTCAATATTTTAGTGATGAACCCTTCGATCATATATATATATATATATATATATATATATATATATATATATATATACATGAAACGTAAAATAGAGTCAAAAAAAATACCAAAAAAATTTACCCCATTGAACAAGAACCGGGTAAAACCTGATATCACAATTTTGGACCTAGTTCTTTTAGCTAACAAGGAAACGGGTATACCCGGTTTTTTTGGAACCGGGTAGAACCGGGTGCATGTTCTACTAAGAACCATCGCTAGAAAGTCTGCTTATAAATAAAAAAGCGGTTTTCTTTGCACAGTCAGATACATAGCGGTAAAAATTATAAAACCCCTCTTTTTCACCAGGTATTAAAAAAGGACAGAATGTTAAGATTTTTTAAAATTAATTTTTTTTCACCATTTGCCTATATTACTTATCCTGAAGCTAAGATTCAGGAATTTTTATCATTGAGTTAGCAGCTAGTGTACACACATACGTCTAGTCGCACGCACACAAACACCGTGCCAAAGTCTGCCGAGTGCCGAAGTCTCCCGAACTGAAACGACGTTAGACGATGCACGGCTTTCAACGCCACACCTCTGTGCCCGTCGGAGTGGGGAGCGTGAGGTTTTTTTCGTTACGGAATTTCTGGATTCGGTCCCCGCGCTCAAGGCCCGCGATAGAAGCTATGCAATAGCTTAATTAAAATAACTCAAACTCTGCCTGCTCTCCTAAATAGTTCAGAGAAGCAATAGCCCCATATTGTTTTGAGGGTGTTGTAATAGCAACTACTAAGATTTTGTGGCTTATTTCGAAGACATGTGAAGTTCGCTAACATACATTGGAGCAGCGTGGCGGACGTTTCCTTGCCCTAAAACCCTTTCGGAAATGAAAGGAGGCCTGTGCCCAGCAGTGGGACATATAGGCTGTAACTGAAAATTTTTTAACTTTAATAGATGACAACATAACCATATTGCTTATGCCAGGTGTTAAATACCTAGGCATGTGTATGGGAGAAGCATTGAGGGTGAATTCACCTGACGATGCACTTGTCAATTTGATTGCAAATATGATGATTGATCCTGATCATGATAGCAACCCATGTTCGGCAATAGACATTTAAAGGCTGATGATTACGAAGAACAAACTACTTCAAATAACATTGATAATTGAATAAAACTATTATTTACGGATTTTATCGCATTAATTACTTTAATTTGTTTTTACTATCCCGATGTTTCGTCATAGTCACATATTTCCGTTATGTTTATTAGTGTACCTATCCATATGCATTTGTGGCGGAAAAATAAATATAACTTTCATTTTCAGTTTGCCCAGGTAGGTATCTTAAAATTAAAGATATATCTTGACATACCGCTTTATAGTCAAACCTGGTGATTTAAGAAACTGTGGCAAGCGCTAACAAAACAAAGCTTTATCACTAAATAATGACAACAAGCAATACATATATATGCATCTCTTTTCAAGCAATCTGACATGAAGGAGACAGCAATGTGTTATCATTTTTTTAAATAATTGTTGTGTTTACTTATCAAATTACTCGGATCTATATTATGTTTGTGAAATTTCTGATACAGAGTGTAAAATTAAGTATTTATATGTTGTACAACTATTGCAATATCATATGAGGATAACCTGTAAACAGTAGTGTTATGAATGAACAAGAAGTGATAATACTATAAATTCAGTACTACATTACAATGGTTTGATTTGAAATTTTAAATGATGTTAAACAGTTCAAGCTTTTATGTCAGTTAAAGCTTTTGGATGAAATATTTGTAATAAAGAATAACTTTATAGTTAAACTTCATTGATGTGAAAGACTAGAAACAAACATCCCCATGGGAATGAATATCACCTGAGCATCTGTGCAGCTTTTTCACATGGACTTCTGATACACCAAACTCTCACTTGTCTCACTTAGCAGCAGTGATTCAATCACATTAAACACTAATCAAATCTACTGAATCCAAACCCAGCCTCAATACTGTATTTTTAATAATTGTCACAACAAGAGATATGGCTAGCAGTATTCAACCACTCTCCCTGAGTCCACAACACTTTTTATGATTAAAACACACACATAGCACTGAAATGGGACGCATATTACTTTTAGAATGTCTTTTATACTCAGTTTAGCGCCCATTAGCGTTTAAGCCTCGCTATTATAGCACAAATCACGACATAACCTCAAAAACGCATACATAAATGTAATAATTGACAATCACAGATGTTTTTTATTACCGTAATAACGCTACGACAACACGGCACTCGTTCGCCACGAAATTTACAAAGAACGCAAAAATTGATCGTTTCGGGCTTGCAGTATAGATTAATGGGTAAAATGCTTTGTTTGAGTAGTAAGGTAGTTACAGCCTTCGTTGCACTATAGATATGTAGACGCGTACGTTCGCATGTGTAGTGCACGGCGTATATTATGTACCTAGCCATATTTCACTCGGCGATTCGAGAGCGCCAGCGAGCGGGAGGACGGACGGCGATCCTCTCGCGCCGCCCGAAACAAAGGGTGGCGCGGTAGGTTCCCTGCGGACCCACAAAAACTGTAAACACGATTCTGATTTATGAGCTGTCCGAGCCATTCATGCACGGCGCTCTCCGAACGGAGCGGAGGCGGTCACGCTCGGGCGCCGCGCTGCGAGATCGCTATCGGCGGCGCCTTCGCAGGGCGACGTCGCCGTGTCCTCGCGCTCGCGGACGATGCGGCCGCAAATGGCGCAACGCAGCGGAGGCCGTGACGCCGTGCGGCCGAGAGAATGTCGGCTCCGCGCGGGAGCGAGAAACGAGCGCGCACGAAACGTTTCGCAACTGCGGACTGCGGATGGGCTCACGGGGCCCAAAATAATCCGCCGCCTAAGTACGCGGGCGGAGTCGCCACAGCGGCACGAGGCTGCGGATGAGATACTCACGGCCTGGCCGCTCGCAGCGGGTCGGCGGCGGCGTCCATGGCGCGCCCAGGCCCTGGCCGCGGCCGGGCTCCGGGCCGTCAACCGAGCGACGCAACACTCTCTTCAATCTCACTCGGAACGCTCCGAGAAACACTGTCGCACCATTTTGACGACACTGCACATTGACCGCGGCGTTTCAATACGCGTATAAACACTCCGCGAACGGTGTTTTGTTACATCGGTTGACTTTTCTTTGAAAAATCAATATACATTTTCTCAGTTTGATACGGACGAGTCGATGTCCAGCGCAGGTTATGTGCGTGAAGTTTGCAAGCTTTTTTAGCGCACCGGTGTTACCAACGATTTTTTGCTCATTTTTTGTTTGTGTTGTGATTTTTTACTGATTTGCATTGCACTTCGGGTTAGTTCGCGCAGCTTGGGTCTCTAATAATACTCGCATGCGCGTACAGTGGCGCCACCTCTGCGTTAACGGTTTGATATAGAAGCGCTAAAATTTAAGCAAGGTTTCATTGTTATTCTTATTTTAGATTTACTGTATTGAAATTTTATTATTTTATAGAGCTAAGCTCTTTAAAAGTAGACTTATAATTTTACTAATGTTATTTTTACTTCTGTTGGTATGTAGTTGAAATAAACTGAGAATTGGGTTTAATAAAATGATATGTAATGTAGGAGGAATAATTTATTAAAGACATAAAACGAACAAAAATCATATAACACAAACAACACGAAAAATTATAATTTTTACACAATTATAAGAAATACGCTTCGTCAGTGTCGATATGGCGATTCAGGGTTAAGTTGGAGGAGTTGAATCTCACTTTAAGCATAAAAAGTGAAGAGATCACACCTCCACTTAATCCTTCACGCTTACTCTGGAACAGTTTGTATGTTGGACGGTGGTTACGTAGCAACTTTGTTGAAGTGGGTGGCTACACGCGTGAGCTGGAAAGATAGATCTGGCAGCATTCAATGTTAAACTGTCAAGATCCCCTGTCCAACTCAGACGTGGAGCCTTACTCGTGCTGCTCGCCAACTGAAAAACAAAATGGAACATTTATGCAAAGTGAACGATGTCTACCTATTCGTTCAGTGTGACAATCATAGAACGCGCTCACGCGGCTCGCTATCATCGCATGGAAAGGTGCGGCTAACGTTCTGATAAGAACTACGTTTTCCCCGTCGTTTTAGCGGCCTTATGTTTTATTCCATCCGCTACCAAATTGAATATCTGATGTAATTAGAAATTAAGCTGCAAAACATAATTATACTTTTCAGGTTATTTTCTACGTTTAGCCACATGTGCCACTGGGGCATCATACCACCATATGTTGATTACGTAATCACGATTCTCCCTTCACACTATGACACTTGATATTGGTTAAATAAAACATTTATCAAAAGATAATTTTAATATATTATAATTAAGTTTACTTTAAAAAATCTGGGGCCACGTCGACAAACTTAACTACAATGTAAAAACTATTAACTAACACGTTTAATTTAATTAAATGAAAACTTTAGCTAATTGCTATAAAAACTGAATTGTAGACACTACATGTTACCCTAAGGTGGACCTCCAGCTCCAACTCCCGGGCAGGTGACACAACTCGCAACCACTGTCAAGGTAATCACAGCCAACTTCGATAGAGAGTCGATCGATCGATGGGCCCATATTTATACACTCATGATATCTTTAGATACGATATCGGGGATCTGACACGAGGTGCGATGTCCACCATAATCGTTGATAAGATTTCACGAGCTGGGAATCGATTGGTCCCTGTCGCCCGTATCAGCCGCGCAAACACTCCACTCCGCCAATCAGTAACATATCGATAAGTCGAATTCAGGGCTCCGTTACGGGACCAGTAGGGCTCCGCGGCCACCTGCGCTCCACAGTCGTCCGGGGCCGTCGCCTCCGGCACGCTATCTGCTTGCAACGGCTCCATCACAATGACGAGTTGTTTACAATGGAGATACACGTTTATAACGTTATATCTCGTTGACAATAGATAAATTCATCATTTTCTCTTTTACACCGGGCATAATACATATTCTTACGAACACAATTTTTAAGTTCTAAGGCAAATTTGTTTTTAAGCTAATGTGATCCTAATTCTACTCATAAAACTCGTAGCGAAAGTTAAACCATATTGTGAAATAATTAATTATGGCGGTTTCGATTCGACAACTGGAAATTGGAAACTGATTAATTTCACAAAACATAATACAAATAGACCTGTTCTGACGTCAAAATAGTTTTCTATGCCGTGCAAACTACGCTTTCATTAGAATAGGTACCTTGCGATAGTAGATACGTGGAAGAATTTCGACATGATAGATAAGGTGGTGAAGGCGCGTATCAAACGGTGTCATTCGATAAGACAGTAGGTGCGCGCTTTCTGGAATACTTTTAGACAGGTGTTTTATCAGTATTGTAATTCTGAAATTATTATCAAGATTATTCACGTATTTACAACCTTGTGTTTTCAATTCACTCGAAGATAAAATACTATAGGTATTTTATTAAATTTCTGGAAAAATCCACACACATAATAATATTATAATGCAGAGGCCAGCGTTCATCATCATCATCATCATTACAGCCCTTCACAAGTCCACTGCTGAACATAGGCCTCCCCCAAGTAATGCCACAAAGCACGGCCCTGAGCCACCTGCATCCATCGACTTCCTGTATGTCTTACCAGGTCGTCACTCCATCTAGTGGGGGGTCGCCCTACACTACGCCTACCGGTACGAGGCTGCCACTCGAGAACCTTTCTTCCCCATCGGTTATCGGTTCTTCGAGCTATATGGCCGGCCCATTGCCACTTCAGCTTACTAATCCGTAGGCCAGCGTTATGAAGGGATAAATTTATAAATCACTATTAAATTTATTAATATTATCCAACGTATCACGACACATTGTGAAGTGCTTTCGAACGTATTAAGATACCTACATCAGGCCTAAAGAATCTAGACTTATAAAGACTAGCAACTAGCTGGATACTGAAGCAAGTTTTTATATAGAAAACTTCATTCATAGTATGAGTGTCCACTATCCGATCGTCGTAAGCGATGTTAGAAGCGACAGTGGGAAATGAAAAAGGAGATGGGCAGAATCTTCTTGATAACAACTCAAAACGCCTTTCAAGTGCGCCTACTATACCGAATTTCTCCCAGATGGATCAATTTATGGAGTTGGTCTGTATTCAACATTGGATTGACTGAAAACTGAAATAGGCTGTAATGAATTAATGAAATGTGATGTCATTCGCCGTTCTTAATATGCAAAAATTAACTTCAATACGCTTTTGAGTACTCAAGTAATATCACAACCTCAAGATAACAACTTGAATAATGTCGTCTTAGAAGTTACATTAAGCGTGTATTTTTCTACAAATTAAAATGTGACCACCCTTGAAATACTTATAGCCTATTTAAGAAAAAAGGGTCTTTAATGGTTCTCTTTTTCTTAAATTTCTAATTTTATTGGTTGAAAATATTGGTAAAGATATCGGGAATCGATAAGAATTTTTTTCGAAGTCAGCTAAAAATTAATTGAATTTTTGGCAAAACACTCGAAATGTCAGGAATTAAAAGCGATAAAATCTATTAAAAAAAAAAACAATTTTATTTAATGTGTAACTAGTGTTTGTGTAAATAGAAGAAAACTTTATCGGCTGAAAATCAATTAAGGTCTAGTAGGTAGTTTATTAATTTAATGATTTCTTAAATTTACGCTAACACTACAGATTGAATAAAACTAAATATACGGATTCAATCGCGTTTAATTAACTTATTTTTAATTCCCGACGTTTCGGGTGCTTTACAGTACCCCGTGACTGTGACATCAGGACGTCAGACATCACAGTCCCCATTACTATGGATGACCATGACGTGACCATGGGTGCTGTAAAGCACCCGAAACGTCTGGAATTGAAAATAAGTTAAAATAAGTAAATTAAACGCCATAGAATCCGTTTATTTAGTTTTATTCATAGTTTACTAAATAATTTTTTATTGTACTATATATACCGGGAATTTTGTCCTTATATAACCTACATTTTGGAATGAAACATTCCTAGTTAGAATATATTAATAAATTACATAAATTAAAGATGATCTGATCCAATGGGAACAGTTAATCAAAGTTTTGGAGACGCGAGACGTTAACGCTTAGCGAGAGCAATGGCAGCCGTCTCGTGGGGGGAAATTTGAGCAGTACTTGGAGGAGGGAGGCCGTGTCCGCGGAGGGTGTGCGACAGGGCGCCGCGAGGGCGGAGGCGGCGCCCCGCGGCCGTGAACTGCCTCGGAAACTTCGCCGTATTGTGTTTACATTGAACTTTGTTATGTGGGTTAAAGTTAAGCCAGAGTTCAGTAGCGTGTGTGGCGCCGGTTTCGCCCGATCGCGAAGTTGACTCGCAACTTTGTCGTATCGATTTTCATCTACTGTTTATCAAATGTTTTCAAGGTTCTGCAACTTTAAATTGCGTTATGTGTGTCACGTTGCAAACACGGAAACTTTTGACGTTTATATTTTGTTTTGGGTTGATATTTTTGAAGTGAAACTTCTTTATCGATGTAGTGGAGAAATTTAGTACGGTATTAAAAACAAAATCGTCATGTTTTTTTTTTAAACGTGTCACCGAAGGGGCTATATGAACAGCGTTGGCACTTAGTGGTTTTGTTATTAGACTTAGTGAATTTTGGAGTAAGGGATATTCTGAAAAAAAATCACCAAATATTTATATGATAACTTTTGTTGTGATGTTTATCAAATATTATAGAATTTAGAAAATATAAATAGTATCTACAAAATCGATTGAGAAAAACGAACAATGACCTTTCGGTCGTTTAAGCAGGGGTTACAAACCTTCAATATATAGACACATTTTATATGTAGTAATTTCTTTATTTATAATGATTTTTTATTATGATTGATATAATATATATTTATTAACTATTATTTATAGTTTTGTTTATTTTAAAGGGATGAATTTGCAAAAGCTCAATATGGTGATTAATGAATGAATATGAAAATATTTGAAGCAATATATGCTTCAAATATTTTTTTATATGAAACTGTTATTAAATGAATTGCTGCGTTACTTACCATAAATTGAAATATAACACATTTTTCGCGATTTTCCGTAAGATTTTCGGACATCGATTTGGCACATACTATATCAATCTTTACCTGTCGTTGAGTTCCCCAGTGTATGTAAAAATACCACTTTCCTTTTTTCGCATAACAAAAACGTAATTCGTAGTAGACGAGTTTGTTAGTTTATGCTAACCTACCTTGGGGAATTCCCGACTAATAATGAGAATGACCAAAAATGACAATGTAAAGTTTGTTTCAGTGAGTGTTGAATACTGTTGCTTGTATTTACTTAGTTGCCAGTCTTCGTTCGGTCACTATATTAGGTCAATATATGGTGAGTAGTTTTAGTATTGAAATCATTCAATTTGTAATGTTTTTGTGAAGTGTTTATTATTTATTTGTATCCACATTTCTAACATTAGAACTACTGAGAAACGCGGATGCTTGTGGAATTTTTGTAAACTGATAAACTGTTAACATGGTCTTCTAATAAAAAACTGAATAGGTATTGGAGTGGATAATGCCTATTTTTTATAGCATTGGGTGACAAACGAGCACACAGTCCACCTAACAGTAAATGAATACTATGGCCCATAGACATCCACATTTAGTCTCAATTAAGGATCAAAATGCAATGCATTGTCACCCCTGGACTAAGATGGAATGCCTCGATTCCAGTAAAAAGATTCTCCAGTTCTCTACACTCGCCATACGAACACAGCAGCATTACGCTATTTTACGCTGGTATTCTGTGAAATCTTGGTCATGCACCGGTCGAGCCGACCCATTCGTGCTACAACTATAATATAGCAGCAGCGTGGTTCTACCACAGAGTAAGGACCAGAGGGGATGCTTCCTAACAATATTGAAAATGTTTACCTATTTTGATAGGGTTGTCACCTGAAGAATGTGAAAATTTTAAGGAAAAAAAAACAATATTATATAGCATAAAACAAAATGTGATTACATTGTAACTTAAATTAATATAACAGCATGTCTATTTATTGTAACTTAAATTGAAACTGCAAAAATAGTATATTTTGCTAATATACATAGTATGTATTATGTCTTATTGAATCTTGCTGCAGGGTAATGCGGCAAATATTGATAAAATACGTGCAATTGATAGTTAAAAACCGCGCGAATCCCTTCAAGAAAATTTTAAGAAAATAGGTATTCTCACAGAGGCTTCATATTATACTTATATATTTCTATCTATATCATTTTCGTAAGACTTATTCATCAGTACAAAGAATCAGGTGGTGGTAGTAATGGCTGTGATAGTGGTAGTGGGCAGTGGTGGTGGTTGTGGTGTTGATGGTGATAGTGATGCTGGTCGTGGTGGTGGTATTGGTGGCGGTGATGTTGGTGATGGTTCACTACCCACTACCATCAACCATACTACAAGAACCACCACCAACACCAGCACCACTACCACCAACACCAGCACCACTACCACCAACACCAGCACCACTACCACTAACACCACCTTCACCACTGTCTGGCAATTGTATTTTGTTCTTTTGAATTTTTATACATACTGTACAACTGTTGGGCATTAATTTATACAGAACACTAATTAATTACTTATATAAATCTATAATGTCTTATTTTATAATAAGCAATATCTAAACTTAAATCTAATTGTAAAAGAAATAAAAAAAGTTGATATATAAAATTACGAAATATTGTTCTTCTATTTATTTACTCGTAAATGCGTACAACTAACACAGCTCTTTCATTTATACTCTGACTGAGCCGGCGCAAACCGGTTTGTACCCCAACAGAGCGTCGGTGAACCTGTCAGCGAGAGCTCACGCACACATCGCTGCGCTATGCATG